AGATGTTGAGATTTCAACATTATGGATGTTGCTTTGCTCATTGGTCGGTAGAAGGAATGCATTGATTTCTTCTTATGGGATGGCTACCTATTTAAAGAAAGTTGACTTTGTTTACCCTCTACTATTCATGACTAGCATATATGGAAATTACATGGATGAGGTCATTTTGGATGAGACATGACCATTGCTATGGTGGAAAGATTTTATTGGCCAAGTCTCAAGCATATGATGTTGTTAGATTAGTCTTTCAATGGAAAGAACATTAGTCTTAATATACCACTACTTGTTTTACATGAACTTGGCAAGATCTAAGTATGGATTTTGTCCTAGGGCTGCCAAAGACCTTTCAGGTCATCACACTATCATAGTGGTGGTTGACTTATTTTCTTAAAAATGCACTTGCCATCCCTTCCTCTAAAAATATAGATGATGTCCATGTGGCTAAAACATTCTTTAAAAAGGTAGTGAGACTTCATGGGCTACCTACAACTATTGTGTTAGATAGCGATCTGAAGTTACATGTTATTTTTGGTGAATTTTGTGGCATTTGATGAACACTAAGCAGAAATTTTCTACTGCCTTTCATCCACAAACAGATGGGCAAACTAAAGTTGTCAATGGGAGTCTTGGAGGCCTACTTTGGTGCTTGGTCAAAGAAAAGGTAAATACTTGGGTTTTGATCTTACCAATGGCAAAATTTGAGTACAACAGCCTAGTAAACAGAAAAACAGGGCACAATCCATTTGAGATTGTGCTAGGTTTGCAACCAAGGAAACACATTGTTTTGATTCCCCTACCTTTTTTAGCTCGTCATAGAGTTGAAGGTGTGGATTTTGTAAAACATATTCAGTAAATTCATGCTAATGTATGCAAGAAAATATCCACCAACAATGCCTCCTACAAGGGGCAAGCAGATTTACATCGTAGGCATATTGAATTTGAGGATGGTGATCAAGTTATGGTTCATGTGAGGCCGAACAATTCTCTGCCAACAGGTATAAGAAGATGCTACATAGGAATGTGGATCCTTACAAAATTTTAAAGAAGATCAACTTTAATGCCTATGTACTAGACCTTATGGACAACATGGGTATTAGTAACATCTTCAATATTGAAGATCTTACTCTTTATCCTGGACATATTTGTGAGATATACCACTCTTTTAACTCAAATGTGACCTCTGTGAGAGATACCACTCTTTTAAAATGTCGGAGTCAACTTCTCTCTAGTCGGGGAGATGATGCAAGATGGAAACCTTGTAAAGTCTGTAGGAGGAGGGCCAAGGACTAGAACACAAATATTATAATATGGCAAGATTCTAAAATTGAATTTGCTTAGCTAGCTGGCATTCACATGCTGCCACCTAAGTAAAAACCCTACCATTTTAGGGGAATGTTGGCTGATCATAATTAAGATGCTTCCTACCACCTAGAAAAAGGCCCTATCCATCATACTAGGACATTATGAATATGCTGGCTGTCTTCTAATCTTGTCCATAGCAAGGCTGTCTAAGCTATTATCTACTTGTCATTTAATCATGACTATACCAAGTTGCCTAAACCTTAATTGTCTATATGTTTGGAGATTTTTGTGTGTTTGGTCGAGTTATGTGGAGAGAAATTAAGTTTAAATGTTGAATATGTGATGCATTCTTAAGGAATGATTCCCTAATCCTAAATAGGCATTTGGTTCGTGGATTCTTAAATTTTGAAGGGAAAAGTGATTTTGGAGGAAAGTGATATTGAAGGGAAATGTGTGATTCTTGAGTTTTATTGACTTAAGGAATGTAAGATTTATGTATTTGGTTTGGAGGAATGTAATGTTACTTAATAAAGTCTTTTACTATATTGTTTTTGATGACATGTAAACATCATATGACATTCATAATACGTTATACATGAATAACACATTTTCCTTGAAATTAAAGAATTTTTAAAAATATTTTTTTCATATTTTCAACAAAGATAATTTTCTAATTCTTATTTTCCTTAATTAAATGTATTTTAGATTTTATATGTAATAATATTAAGTGAAGAAATTTTAAGTTTTATTTTAATTTTGTTATGAGTGGTAACAAGGACTATGTTATTTATTTTAAAAACTCTATCTATGTTAAGATTTTAGAATTTTGAAAGTATAGTTTCAATATCTATTACATTTTTTACTTAGAAACATGGTTTTTATTAAAATTTCAGAATTTGGAAAATATAGCTTGAATATCTATTACATTTTTATTTTAAAAATGTAGTCTTTGTTAAAATTCCAGAATTTTAAAATATAGTTTCAATATCAACTACATTTTTTATTTTTAAAATGCGATCTTTGTTAAAATTTCATAATTTTGAAAATATAGATTCAACATTCACTACATCTTTTATTTGTAAAATGCAATTTTTGATAAAATTTTAGAATATTCAAAATATAGTTTCAACATACATGTTTTTTATCTTAAAAATGCAATATATGTTGAAACTATAAATAATAAAATCATATTTACTTTATAATTTTAATATGTTCTAAAGATACACAATTAAGTGAAGGCAATTGGGGCAAAGTTTTACTTTCCCTATGGAATCTAAAAACATCTTAGGGAGATGAGAGTTAGACTTGGCAATTCATGTTTTCATATCGTGTTGTGTGTCATGTTTAACATGTGTAATTCCACGAATTATTAAACATGAATACAACACAAATTATAAAATGTATTTAAATCTTAAACACAAATATGATGCATTTATTATACATGTTACATATGAAACGACATGATTAACACATGTACAATTAATCTGTTTAAACATGACAAGAATAAACACAATAACACGGATACGCATGAATAGGCACCACTAACACATGTATACATGAATAGATGTGACCAATATGAATATATATGCAAAAACATGGCTAAAATAATAAATAATTATAAACTATTTATCATTTACAACTTAATAAACTTGGCATATTAATAATATAAAAAAGTAATTGCATATTAAAAAGAATACGAAATTGATATTCATTTAATATGTATTTAATATATATATTTAAATTTTAATATACATTACATAACTATATTAGTTTGTAGTATCAAATTCAAAATGATGAGCCACTAAAAAGTAAAGAATAAAATAATGATGTATAGGACTAGTATTAATAGTTATATTATATTTATGTTATTAATATAAAAAATAATTTTATAATAATTAGTAAATGAGTATCATAATTAAATGTTTAAAATAATTTTTATATGGTATTGAATAACTAATTAAGTATCATAATTAAAAATTTAAAAATTAAAATAATCTTTTTATTTTTATATTAAATTAAATTAAATATAAAAAAATTTGTTAAACGTATTAAAACATATTAAACGTGTACTCGTATGACAAAATTAAATAAAATGTGTTTTTCATATCATGTCACATAGTGAACGTGTATCTATGTGATACATTTTATCTAAATGTGTTTTTCGTGTCTTAAATGTGTTTAGACGTATCAACACGTATAAAATACAAATTGTATCGTATTGAAATTCATGTAGATATGAATAAACACGAACATGTTTTTCTTTAAAACATATGATTTTTTTCTTGTCGTTTTTGTGTCATGTCTGAAATTGTCAGGTTTAATGAGAGTTTTTAATTCATCAATATTTTTGTCATTTTTGACATTGTTGGAAAACTTAAAAAACTTTAGGAATCACATTCCATGAATCAAATTATGAAAAGTAAGATTTTGGCCGAGAATCTTATTTTCCTCCGAACCAAACACCATTTAATTGTGTTTTATAAAGTTATTGTCTTGATTTTAGTTTTCATAGTTCACCTAAATTCTACTTGTTTTCCACTTCCTAATTTTCTTTTTGTTTATGTTAACATGTCAACAAAGTTTTCAAGCTTTATTCTTCCTATTGTTATTGTTTGAACCTAAATTTTAAGTTCTAAATAGGCCTCTATCTAGTTTAAGTGTACTGTTTATAAAGACCCTACATCACAAATCTTCATTAATTGGTAGAAAAATCCCTTAAACCTTTGTAAGATATTATCTATTGACACCTGAAAATGTAGTTTGTCTGCTCATGTAGAAGTGGTTTGGGAAGAGTTCAGCACTACTATGCTCTCTGTTGTTTTCATGTGTTTCTAACTAATAACAAGGGCAAATTGCACAAATTGTATCCCAAGTTTTATCCTCCCATTCTTCTAACAGTCAGGTAACCAGAGTTTTGAGAAATACTAACTATCAAATTGTTTTTTGGGTCACCAGCCAGAAAGGTTGTGAAATCTGCTATGGCAGCTGTCATATTGATGCCATGCTTCAATTGACATTAAGCTTTTTGGTGCACATTATTTGACCACATGTTTGATTGTCTATTTTCCTTTTTTTTCCCTAAAATATTCCTTGTTTTCTTACTGTTAATTTTTCTTCTCTACCCCATGATCAAAATTCAAAGCATTTTCTTCGAAGTGTTTACCTTATTTTTCATTTGAGTCATAATTACTTTTCACTTTTGGTCATATCCATTTAGTCATAGCTGCTGAAGCAGTACGTATTCATTTGATCCCTAAAGTCTACTGAGAGGCTTTCTTTCATTTTTTGAATGTTCAATTTAAATTTCTATTATTTTCTTGTACAAAATGATATTATTTTTTATTATTACTGGATGCTTACTTAGCAAGCTCTTGTCTTGTTGGTGTATACATATTCAATTTGGAAGTGTGCACTATAATGAAACAATATGCTTTTCCAGCTGGAAAAGAAGGGGCTTCTGAGATGTAAATGAACTTCTTTATTTCAAAATTTGGCATGCAGTTATTCATTATCTTAAGGTTGTATTAGTCTGATTTGTTTGCAATTGCTTTTGCCAATGCTGTTTCTAAAGGGGTAGAATATCTGTTGAGAATTTATTCTAAAGTTCAAAGGTTCAATTTGTCTGTTGCATTTTAGTTTTTTCTCTTCTTTTGAACAAGGTTTAGTGCCTCACTTGCTACAATCATTTTAAATTTCAGGATAAGTACATGCAGAACAGACTCGTGCGACTTGTGTGTGTTTTTTTACAAAGTTTAATCAGAAACAAAATAATTGATGGTAAGCATTGTATTTTACATTATTTGTTGTTTTGATGTACAAGATGGATGAATATGCAGACATGATTTGATGCTTATGAGTAGGTTACTTCATTTGGCCACTAAATTAAATAATCTGTCAAAAAAAGAAAAAAGAGATAAATATGGGAGAGGTCCTCTAATGTTGTCTGATGCTGACAACATAAGAGTTTTGTGTCCCTGTGAGTGCGTGCATAAGTGCATGTGTGTGTGAATTATGGCTCTACTATTGTAGTCTTTGAAATCTACCTATGGCATGTAGAAAAATAATCCATTAATCAAACATCAATAGTAATGTTACTTTGTGGTTATGTCTTCCCTTCCAAGTTCTGGAGTGGCTTTATAGTATTTATAGGGTGTGTTTGCTAATTGACTTGCTGTTGTCATGGAAGTGATTGCATAGTTAGTTGTCCATTGTTATGAAGAATTTTCTAGCCAAGTTACCATTCACTGCCAAACAACAGTTGCATGTTTGATCTTCATTTGTAGTCATCTTCAGATCTTAATCTACTGAAGATATGAAATGTACTCAGTGTGTGGTTATTTTGGATATCTATGTCATATGCTTGATTTATTTATCAGCATTTTGTTTATTTGGATTGGTGGTTTTGATTTTGCAGTTAAGGATCTGTTTATTGAAGTTCAAGCCTTCTGCATTGAGTTTTCGAGGATCAGAGAAGCAGCCGGTTTGTTTAGGCTTTTGAAAACTTTAGAATAAACGATCACTCTGTTCTTTTCCTCTTTTTAAACTCTGCCTACAGTGTAGATAGTATTGTCGTCCTTTGTGATCCCATTCCAAAAGCCATAAATTTCACATACTAATAGCACTTTGGTCTTCATAAACAAATAAGGGTGGTATTGTAGAACAAATATGCATTAAAAAATATATTGTAATCAGACGGTTTCAGATATCATGAGTAATAAAAATGAATTAACAGTATATATAATAATGAAACATATAATCATGGTATACATATAGAATCTAGATTTAAAAATAGTTTATCAGTTATTAGTTATAGTATTAATGGACTTGTAGATTTATTTGCACCTTTGTTTAAAAACTATTTAGTATAGTAGATAAGATGAAAAATCAAATATCAGGTAATTAGTTTAGATTCGAACTGTGAGTCTAGACAACTAATACTAGTAGTCAACTATAGACTAGAAATCTTTAACAAAAAAAAAAAAAGAATAGAAACTATAATAGGAAATAGTAGGTTAAGGAACTAATTATGGTCCTTCATATTTAGGAAATGAGAAATTAGTTTTAAGTGATAAAGAATCATCTTTTTCTAAAGATAAAAGAGAAAAGAGTTTTTTCTAAACAAAGAAAAAAAAAAGAAGACTTATAGAACATCTTAAATCAAAGATAGAAAAAGTAAAATCTCCTAAATAACAGATAGAATAATTAAACATAATAGAAGAACTCTACCATAAACATATAAATTTATTTACAAAATTTAATTATCATTATATATTAAATTATGAAACTACTGATGAAAGTATTAGTGATGAAGAATTGATGAAAATAGTGATACTGAAAGGATGACAATTTTAGCCACAAATCCTCTCATTATAACTAACGAATCATTTTCTTCAAAAGAAGAAATAGATATAAAATCTTTGGAAACAGATAAATCAGAATTTGTTCGTGATAAAGGAAAGAGAAAAGTAGGAGAGTTTTCTAATTGAAAACTTGATGACCAGCATAGATTTTCGAATATTGCAAAGGAAGAAATAATACAATCAGAAAAAACAGGAACCTCTGCTTCTCCTAACATAGATTCAATACCTCAAAGTACGGTTATTGAATCTTTAAACAAAAAAAAATGTAGTTCAAGGAAGTACTTATTTAGATTTATCAAAATTAGTAATATTAGAGTATGGAAAAAATCATAAAAATTGGGCACAATTTATGATTATTGTAGTAAACAACTATAAAAATACTTGATCAAAAGAAAATTTTTTAAATTACTTTTTGTGGCACATTTCAAGGAGATGTACTTCAATTCCTTAGAAAATGGGAAAACTCTTACCAAGGAAAACAACAAAAAGCAATATTTTTAAACCAAGTTTCTATAATACCTGATTTATTAAAAAGTCTTACAAATCTTTTAAAAAATAAGTTTTTTGGAGGAATAGATTGAGCTTATAAATATAGTGAAGCTAGTTATGTGTTATCATTTGTGATATTAATTTTCTAAAAGATACATTCATGAATATCACAAATTGGATGAAAATTATTATTAATTTTAGAAAGAACAGTATTTTTATAAAATACCATCACCATGAGATGAAATCTATAATCAACAATATTTTGCATATTTAAAAAAACATAATGTGTCAGTAGAAAACAAGGATTATATAGATTCTATAGGTAATGGAGTCTACTTTGCTTCCAAACAAATAATAGAACATTGTTTAAAGATTAAAGGTTCCAAACAAGTTAAAAGTAAACTAAGTGATAGCAAGTGTACAAATATATAAAAAATGAGTGGGAATTTGGTTGTGAACAAAAAATCACACAAGCCAAAAAAAAAAAGCATACATTTGATGAAAAAAAAAAAAGAAATTTATTAGAAGAAAAACTTCTAATAAACAAGAAACAAAATGTAAATGATTTATTTGTGATGAAGAAGGTCATATAGCACATAATTGTCTTAATAAAGGAAAAAGTGCTAAATGGATGATAAAAACCATTGAAGAAAGAGAATTAGAGATTTGTTTTGGAGACGATATTTAAGAAGTTGTCTTAGTGTTTGAATCAGATTTTAACTCTAATGAAGAATACATTTTCATGCTAAATATTGGTAGTGAAAATACTAAAATTCTTGAAGTATCTGTTGAAGAGCAACAAATGACTAAGCTGAGTGATGTATTAGGAGAAGAAATCCATCTCTTTGATGACCAAATAGAAAAACTACAATCCATCAAAAAAGATGAAATTTATAAAATTTTGAAATTTACACCTTGGGACAAATGATATAATGAAAGATTTAGTGGCAGTACTATTATAGAAAATACAAAGGAAGGATTAGTAGAAATTTCAGTATTCACCAAAGCAAAAATTAAAAGGATAAAGGGAGAAAAAAAATCCTGCAATTAGATTCATTCAACTTGGTGCCATTATGATCACCATAAAAGCATTATTTAGAGCAGGAAATGATATCCCAATCATAGTTGTTTGATTAGATAAACACTTTACCGATCCTATTAAAGCACTAATAGGAGTAATCCTATCTAATTTAGTTACAGGAGTTATTTAGTTTAAAGTATAACCGAATTATTTTATATCGATAAATGATCTGTTAATAGAAGAATGTTTATGTTTAAAAATAATAACAAAAAATTCAGATTTAAAAGATAGTTTAAATGATTCTGTATTAGTTGGGTCACTATTAATGAATATACTAATCATTGTCACATTTTATAAAAGAAGTTGATAGTAAAATTATAAAAAATTTTGAATCAAGATCTTTTAAACGAGAAATCAAACCTAGATTAATGAATTTAAGAGATCTTTTTGTTCCAGTAGGTTGGTTATTAGAAGGGTAATAGAAAAATCGAGTCATAAATCTATTAAACCAATATAAATTATGGCATATGGTAATAATTTGTACTTCAAAAATGTTGCATCAAGCAGTAGTAATAGAAATTTAGTATCGCTAGCTACTTCTTCAATCTCAAATGCTTCTATAGTAGATGAAGAAACAAATAGTTTCAACATTTACGGTTACAATCACAACCAATTGGTGTGAAAAATCTTTTGAAACCAAAATTTTCAGCTGAACTTAGTAAAACTTTTATTTCATTTAGAAACACTAGAAGAGAAGATATAGGAACAGTAATAATAAGTCAAATCAAAATTGGTACTTATGACATTATTACATTAACTAATAATCAGCTGAAATGGTATTACATATATAGAAGCATATTTTAATTTTAAAGGATATAAACCCTATTCTTTAAATACATTGATTGGCACTAGAGCTACAATTAGTAGTTGAATGGAAGGCGTTACCACCTGAAAAATGAAAACCAGTTAAATCCTAATTGCTTTTAATTGACATTGATGTTAAAGAAACAAGATAGATATAAGGCAAAAAATGTCTCAGACTCTCTTAATAATAATAATTTAATCATACAAAAAATACCATGTTTTCCTTTTATGCATAGAGACATTGTCGGGAAACAATTTTATATATAAACATTTATCTTTTTGTTTAGTACTTGAAAGTATAGTTTTCACAATAAATCGTCCACCTATAGAAATACATTTGTTAAAAACACATAAACACATAATATTGGTTTTAAATTAGAAACCAATAATATGATTATAAAAGTCGTTAGTGAAAAACATTGCCTATATCGAGTATTAAATAAAAGTTTTAGTGCAGAATCACTAAAATTATTGTCTGAAAAACCTAAATATTGTAAACTAGTTTACAAATTATAGATTTTACAAAAATTATTAAAGTCAAACCCATGATCTATATACTAAACATGATATAAATGAATTTGACATTCAAATCAAAGAATTATCAGACAAGGGATTAATAGAGGAAACTACTAGTTCTCATTCTGATTCAGCATTTATGGTAAAAAACTGTGAAAAACAAAAAAGAGGAAAGGCCCTTATGGTAATAAATTATAAAAGATTAGATTAAAACTTAATCTTTGATGGCTATTTTATCCCACAAAAGGATATACTTATTAATTTAGCAAAACATGCTAAATATTATAGTAAATTTGATTGTGAATAAGGTTTTAGCAAATTATGCATCAAAACCTTTGACTAAATTTAGTGCTCCAAAAGGTCACTATTAAACAGAACATTATGCCATTTGGATTATGTAATACTCTATAAATATTTCAAAGATGGATAGATTCTATCTTTGAAAATTTTAAAGATTTTTTGTGTTATATATATCGATGATATTTTAATTTTTTTCTCAATCATTAAATGAGCACTAGAAACACATAAATTCAATAGCTCAAGAATTTATTAAGAATGGCATTATTTTAAGCCTTAAAATGATACAGTTTGAAAAAACATAAATAGAATTTTTAGTGTTAAACTTATCTTTCGAATGAATAAAATTACAAGATCATATCATATTAAAAATAAAAGAATTCTTTGAAAAGCTAGAAGATAAAAAGCAACTTCAATGTTTTTTAGGACTTTTCAACTATGGTCAATGGTTTATAAGAATTTTTCTAAAAAAAAAATGTTTCTATTAAAAAACTTAAAAAAGGTGTTCCATTTGAATTAACAAAGAAATAGTCTATTATTATTAGACAAATAAAGAAAGAACTAAATGAAATTCTTAAGGTTTATCTCCCATTAATACTAGAAACATATGCCTCTAACGAATATTGGGTATGTGTTTTGAAAACCAAAGCAAATAATAATGAGTTAATATTTGGATATAATTCTTAAAAATTTAAACCAAATAAAATAAATTATATTTTTGAAAATGACTTATAAAAAATTAAGCTAGTAGATTTGATATTTATTTGGTACCTGAATAATTTATTATTACAACAGATAATCAGGTTGTTAAAGATTTTTTACAAAATAAAAAGACAAACAATCCAAAAAGAATTAGATGGTACAAATTTTGTGTCAATATAATTTCTCTATTAAACATATAAAAAGTGCTAAAAAGATGATAAAAACACTTGAAGAAAGAGAATTAAAGGTTTGATTTGGAGATGATATTTCAAAAAAAAAATGTTAGCTACGAGTTAGTATCTGAAACATATTCTGACTCTGATAATAATACTTTTTCATGCTAAATATTAGTAGTGAAAATACTGAAATTCGTAAAGTATCTGTTGAAGAACAACATATGACTAAGCTTAGAGATGTATTAGGAGATGAAATCCATCTTTCTGATGACCAAATA